TATGGAAAGACTCTATGGAGCAGTTCTGTCCTGTTCTACAAGGTTGTGATGGAAGGAGTCAGAATCAACTTGATGGTAGTGGATATGGGTTTGGGTTCAAGAAAGTTGGTGGTTCGAACTCGGTGGGAGAAAGATATGACAGTTGGCTTCCATAAAGATTACAGCCTTGGAAACCCTTAGGGCAGTTTCGACTGGACAGCAATATGTTAGGTATGGTAATTCCACAATCTTTGTAAAATGTCTTCTTTTTCTTTTCCAAGATTGAGTTAAAGCTCAAACATCCGGACAACAGGAAGCAGGAAGGCCACATCATAAATCTTTCAGAAGGCAGATGTGCATGCCCCAAGACTGAATGTTTTAATGGGTCATATGCTAGTTATAGAGGAGTCCTGGTGTAGCATAAGTGCTGGACCTCAAGGTTGGCGGTTCAAACTCACCATCTGCTCCATGGAAACACCATACAGGGTCACACTACACATGGAACCAACTTGATGGCAATTAACAACAACATCCTAGTTACAGAGTTGGGTGTGTGTGTGCGCAAACAGCTAACACAATGCCCGCTGAAATGTTGGAGGTTCAAGTCCACCCAAATACACTCAGAAGAAAGACCTGGCGATCTACTTTAAGAAACATCATCAGTCACTGAAAACCCAAGGGAGCATGGTTCTGCTCTGACACATTTAGGGTCCTCATGAGTCTGAGTTGATTTGATAGCAACTTGTTTTATTCTAATTCTAGCACAGATTTGGTCTTTGGGGGACCTGGGATGCTCTCAGGTGAAGGACACTGGGTAAGGGCAGAGGTTGGGCCAGCCCTCCCTACCCGGCCTCTGAGATTCTTCAGCACTGAGGCAGCTGAACCATTGTATGGATGGGGAAATTGAGGCCAGTGGAGTACAAGATCCCTGCTGTTCCACCTCACACCCCCGAGCTACTCAGAGCCCCAGCTGCAAAACACTTCTCCCAGGAGGGGAAGGGGCGGGGTGTGTGTGTGTGTGTAAGTTTTTGAGGGGCCAAAATGGGGGTTCGGGCAGAAGGCCAGAGAGGGCAAGGGCAAGAGGAGACGCCTCTGGATGGGTGTATAGACGCAGAGAACTAAGAGAGGGGGCTTGGGGAGGGGAAGGACTCTGAGGCAGGGGCTCCCACAGATAAACAGGGTTTTGGAAAGGGGTGGGGTATTCAACCCACCCGTGCGGAGCTGTCTCGGTCTTCTCTCTCTAGCCTCCTCCTCAAATTCCTTTTCCATGTCTCTTTCTCTCTGTGCCCCCTTTCCGCCCCTCCCCCTTCCTCCCTCCCTTCTCCTCGTCTCCCCATTTCCCTCCCTAAATCCCCTCCTCCAATCCTCTCTAGTTCTCTCCCTTCCCTCCCTCCCCATTCTCTCCCTATCCCTCTTCTCTCTCCCCTCCCCTCTTTCCCTCCCCCCTCCCCCACCCCTTCCTCCCGCCTCATTAGGCGCGGCCGCGGCGCGGGGCCCATTAGCGGATCAATTAGCCGAGGTCGCCGGCGGCGGAGTCGTTAAGCGCCGGGAGGCCGCGGCGGGGGAGGGGGCTGGGGACGGCGCCTCCACCAGCCTAGGCTTCCCGACCCGATCGCTCTCCCCTAGGGCCCCTTGTCACTACTCCTGCTAGCAACTCCTAGACCCAACCCTGACCCCTCCTGTGACCGCTCCCTGGGAGAAGGGGGGGGAGGGTCCTACTCTCCCCATCCGCGTCTGTAAAGGACCCTAAGGTCCAGAGGGAGACCCCGGGGTCATGGACAAGGCAGTGGCAGGCAGAAGACCCCCGTGTTTGTGACCTTTCGTTTGCCAGCAGCATCAATAATAGTAACAACAAAAATAATAGTAATAATTGTGTCATCCAACAGTTAGGGAGCTAGTGCAGATTTCTGCTAATTCTAATTTCCCAGAAACGAGGGCAGCTGAGTGACTCCATTTACCCACCACAGCAGTAATTAGCGTTGTCCCCTCCCCTCCCCCGGCCCCCACTGTGAACCCAGATCCGCCCTCCAAGCTCTGAATGAATACACTTTGCTAACATTCTTTCCTTGTACAAATTTCAAAAAATGCAGCCTCCCCTCCCCCTTTTCTCTCTTGTCCTCCATCAAGGCCCCTACTGACTCCTTTTCTCCCTGAATGACTTTTACGAATTTATTTTCCTGTCTATCTAGTCATGCAGGTGTTGGGAGGTAATTCCAACTCTTGGCGATCCCATGTAACAAAGCAGAACTCTCCCACAGGATTCTTTTCTAGGCTGTCATCATTACTGGGGATCACCAGATCTTTCTCTTGGGGAATGGCTGTATGGATTAGAGCCACCAACCTTTGGGCTACCAGAGAACCATTTTAAGCAGGGTTCCTTACCCAAGTACTATGAACAGGGATTTCTGTAGCGTAGTGGTTACGAATCGGGCTGCGAATCTTAAGGTCTGTGGTTCGAAACTACCAGGCGCTCCGCGGGAGAAAGATGAGGCTTTCTACTCCCGTAAAGATTTACACCCTCGGAAACCCTGTACAGGGTCGCTATGGGTCGGAACCGACTCGATGGCACTTAACAACAACAACAACTTTATACAGAGGGTTGTCTCTGTGATTACACTCATTTTACAGATAAGAAAACTGAGCCTCCAGTGGGGAAATCAACACTATTTGCCTAGTTATGCAATAATGAAAGGAAGGGCCAGGATTTAAACCCACCTTGGAGACCCCATGATCATAACCATTTATAGAAACCATCAGTAACAGCTGATGTTTCCTGCAGACTCTAGGAATATACATGGTGTGGGGGAGGTATCTGAGGGCTGGTTATCAAGAGTCCCTGGATTTAACACTTGACTGCTAACCCAAAGGTTGGTGGTTCAAACCCATCCAGAGGCGTGTCAGAAGAAAGGCATGCCTATCTGCTTCTAAAAGCCATTGAAAACGCTGTGGCGCACAGGTCTACGCTGCGCACACTGGGTCCTCAAGAGTTGGAATCGACTTTAAGGTAGCACGTTTGCTTTGATTTAGAGGAGTGTCATTGCCCCCACTTTGGAGGAGAGGTAGGAAGGAAGACTTCCAGAAAACAGTACCTTTTGAAGAATCTAAAAGGAGAAGCATTGGAGAAGAGGAGAAAAAAAACCACTATTCCCATTAGCAGGAACAGCAAGATGCTGAACTTGGCTGTAGCTTGCTGAAATTTCCTAACTGTAAACTATAGCACCCAGAGACAAAACACACAAACAGTACATGAAGGGCTCTGTGGATAACCAGAGTGAACGCACACTTGGAATCAGCTCTATGACCAGGATAGAACAGCTTCCATATCCCTTCTCCGGCTTCCAGACTTCAAGGATGTAGCCCCGAGACTTCCCATGAGCTAGTCTGCTTGTCTGTTTTGCTTCTTGATATAAATGGACTCACACAGCACTTCCTGTGTACCCAGCTCCTTTTGTTCTGCATTACAAGAGTGTGGGATGCAGCACATATTAAGTACTATTACTTGCTGCCATGGAGTTGCACCCCCCCCTTACCTCGGACTCTCGGTGACCCCCTGTGCACAAGTGAAAGAAACGCTGTCCAGATTTGCTCCATCTTCATGAGCAGTTTCGGGATAGGGCTAGTGTGATCCAGGGATTTTCAATGGTTGATTCCTTGGAAGTAGGTTTTGGGCCATTCTTCCAAGGCACCTCTAGTAAGTTTGCACCAGCAGGGCCTCCCATTCCCCGTTTCTCCCCTGGCTGGGCAAGAAAGACTTATGGCCAAGATCAGAGGGCTGATGGGTTTCCTTTCCTCCAGGATTCTCCTTCAGTATACTGGGCTCTGAGTAGATTCCCAGTCTCATCTTGTTTCTGGGGACCCTGACTTGGGGTCTGAGAAACCTGCTCCCCCATTTACTAGCTCTAGCACCCCTGGGAGGCTGCTTAGCCCAACTGCCCAAACAGCTGGTTCACCCTCAAGCCCCCAGCTCTGCCCCTCTTCCCTTCCCTTCCCTCCCCATGCATTGCTATGAGCCTTCAAAGTAAACCAGCTGCCCTCTCTGGACAAAGTGACCAAATTCAGGTGTTGGGCCAAGGAACACAGGTGCAAACACAATGTCTGGCACAGCTTGGACTCCTGATCTCCCATCCTGCACCACACAGGGGAAGGGGGCTCAAAAGACTCTTAAGGAAACCCCCCTCCTTCTCCGGAGGTGGGGTGGGGTGTGGTGGGGAGGGGGCACTGCACAGCAGCCCACAACAGAGAGAGGCAGGAATACAGCGACCAACCTTCTCACATCTTTATTTGAAAGGCACAGCTAAGCCCACCCTATACAGTGTCTCTACTTCTCCCTGCAGAGATCAAACGACTACACACACACACATAAAGAAAGCTAAACCTAAAAGGCTTTATACAGATACAGGTGTGGGTGGTTTTTTTTTTTTTTTTAAATATCCCTTTTCTTAAAAGACAAGCTAGTATACTGGAAAAAAAAAAAAAAAAAGGAAGAAAAAAATAAAAATAAAAACCGAGACAACTTTAGTACCCTCATCTTTATTTGGGAAGGGGGGAGGGGAAGCCTGGGTCACCCACCCCCACCTGCTGGTCCCAGCTAATCTTGCTGCCCTCTATCCCCTCTTCTGTGTTGGGGGGGGAGAGGACCAAGTGGGTAGAATGCTGAAGAGTGGGCTGGAGGTGGAGGAGGAAACAGAAGTGGGTGACAGGGGAGGGAGGGAGACAAGGGGTGCCCAGGGCAGGGAGGGGGCAGCTAGCATTGTATCGCATGCAGTGCCAGGGAGGGTGGCCGGGGCTGGGGGGTGGCCTTGGTGTGCCCCAAAGGACTGGAGGGCCGACTGTCAGTTACACATGTGCAAACCAGGGACGTGTGTGTAGGGGGGTGTTTTTGTAAGGTTTTGCTTCCTTAGAACCTGGCCTCCCATTTGCCCCCTCCAGGCCTCATCTGTGGTATGTGAGCAGGTGAAGGGGGCTGCAAGGGGGGGGGGGGGTAGGTGCAAAGCTAGGGAGCAGCACACAGGCAGAGACAAGGCTCCAGCAGGCGGCTGCCATAAATACTATCAGAGTTAAGCTATACTGTGGCATGTGGGCTGAACATTCCTTTCTTTCCATGTCTGTCTCCCCTGTCCCGCCACCCCCTCCATGCCGGCCACCCGCTAATCCGACTTCTCCCCATCATCCTCCTGGTGGGTGTCACCATCGTGCCCATTCTTATCTTCCTTGGAGAGGTGGGCCTGGGAGCCCAGTGCGGACAGCGAGAGAAGGCCTGTACCCGCGCTGACCGCCGGCAGTGAGGGCGGCTGCAACCCCACGGGCAGCGGGGTCAGGGGCAGGGCCAGGGCCTGCAGTTGTGACAGCTGGTGGGCTTGGAGCTGCTGCTACAAAGGCAAGCGTGGGGAGAGTGTTAGCGGACACTACCTCGGGCCCACCCACCGGCCACCTATCCCCGCCCATCCCAGGCCCTGGACATACTCGGATGATAGAGTTCAGCTCAGGGGCAGTGACCTGCTTAGCTCTCTCGATGGCTCCCAAGACTTGCTGTTGGTGCTGGAAGGGGAGAGGGGAGAGGAATCAGGGACTATGTCTCTATCTCGGGGTGGGGGGGCATGTACCCATTAGCTACCCTCATGGCTTTCCACCCCACCAGAGTCCCCTCTCCAGCTGTTTCCTTCCACCAAGCCTCAATCTGCTCATCTGAAAAATGGGGACAAATAGAGATACACAGAAAACCTAATAAGGGTTGGCAGCAGGTACTTTAGAAGAGGCCTTTGTGCAGTGGACTACCTGCTCAACCATACAGGGCCGTCCTGGTCCCTGGAGCTTGGAGACAGTATGCTGAGAGCCAGTTTTGATCCCTCTCCCACCACAGTTGGGGAAGGCCCAATGGAAAGAAACTCAAGACCTTCTGAATCCAGATTCAGGGTATTTTCCGCTATAGTCCTTCCTACAAATCTGTCTCTCCTGCTTTCAGATGTTAGAATCTACCAGTTTCCCTTTAAGCCTTGACTGCTAGGAAGCCCTCACCAAGAAAGACAACACCAAGGGCCCTCATTTCTGGGGCTTTAACTATGGAATTGTTGTCCGGGGGAGATTTTACTGTATAGTACTTCCTCTGAAGGGCTCAGGGATATAGGATTAAAGCGGAAATGAGACCTACCAACCAGCTAGAAGGAAACCTAGTAACACAGTGATTAAGCACCTGGCTGCTAACCAAACGGTCGGTGATTTGAACCCAGCAGCTATTCTGTGGAAGCAAGCTGAAGACTGTAGCTATTAAATGCCTTCCAGTCAGTTCTGACTCAGAGCAAGTCGCTGACGGGTTTGAACTGTCGACCTTGTGGTAAGCAGTCCAGTGATTACCCCACAGCGCCACACCAGGACTCTACAAATATCCCCTGAAATCTTATCAGACAATAATTTCGCTTTGTCGTTGTTATGTGCTGTGGAGTCGGTTCTGACTCGTTGTTGTTATGTGTCCAACCCATAGCGACCCTGTACAGGGTTTCCAAGGCTGTAAATCTTTACGGGAGTAGAATAGCGACGGGTTAAAAATGTCTACCTTGAGCTTTGTGCTTTTTTAAGAACCTCTCTTAGGGGATCAGATTGACGATGGTGACTGGAAAGGTTCTATAGGAACCTTAGGAAGCAGTGAGTTTATGCTCTTGGAAGGAGAAAACAACTGGGGAAAGGAACTGAGTAAGGAGCTCTCTGGTAGCATAGTGGTTACGAATCAGGCTGCGAACCTTAAGGTCAGCAGTTTGAAACTACCAGCCGCTCTGCAGGAGAAAGATGAGGCTTTCTGCTCCCGTAGAGATACGGAACAGAATCGACAGCACTTCACAACAACATGGTGGTGCAGCTTTAAGAATTCAGGATATTAACTGGGCTCAGTGAATTGCAAATGTAGAAACTATTCAATTGGTGAATGTCCTGTTATGGGTATTCTCAACAACAAAAATCCCAGAGAATCTGAGTGGGTGGTGTGGTCACTGTGTGTGGGTACATTTGTGGCGGCCTATCTGTGTCTCTGCGCTTGTCTGATGCCTATGTCTGTGTGTGCACGTTGTTGGTAAGTGTCGTGGAGTTGGTTCCTACTCATAGCGACCCCATACAGGGTTTCCAAGGAGCGGCTGGTGGGTTTGAACTGCTGACCCTGCAGTCCAGCCGACTGACTTTGCAGTCCACACCAGGGGCTCTCTATGTGTGAAGGTTGTTGTTAAGTGCCAATGGAGTCGGTTCTGACTCATAGCGACCCTGTACAGGATTTCCGAGGCTGTAAATCTTTACGGGAGCAGAAAGCCTCATCTTTCTCCTGTGAACAGCTGGTAGTTTCAAACTGCTGACCTTGCAGTTCACAGCCAGATTCGTAACCACTACGCTACCCAGAGCTCCTTATGTGTGCATGTATGTGCCAACAATCCTGTCTTGTTTGTGTGTTCACCTGTCTATCTGTGTATGCCCGTGTCTGTGACTATGTACTTCTGGGTGAGTTTTCCAACTGTGTATCTGTGTGCGTGGAGATGTGATGCTGTTTCTGTACCACTGTGTGCATCAGTGTCTCTGTGCATGTTTCTACACATGTAGCTTTGTCTGTCTCTGCACCCATGTGCATTTCTGTGTGTGCATCTGTGGAAGTCTATGTGTTTGCATGTGTGTCTGTGTGCAATTTGGGTGTAAGCATGTATGCCTGATTGCCCTCTTTCCCCACTGCCCCCTAGCCCTGTTCCTGGCTCGATGCACCCAGCAGTCTAGGAGTAAAAGGTGGATGAGAGGCGGGAAACCCCCTTATCGAGGTCTGAGCATAGCTGACATTCTTCACTGGAAAATGACTCACTGGGGTTAGGCATTCCATGGGGCAGGGTGACCTCTCCCTCCAGCACCTGCACACACCCTAAATCTTCCAGTTACAGTGGGACCACAGCAGGATGGGGAGGGCTGGAGTAACCCCAAACACCCAGAACATGGCTCCTAGATGGCAGTGCATAGGACCTGTGCGAAGGGCAGGGCCCCTCTGCGGCTCCTCCCCAAGCTCCGCCCCACTTACCTCTTGGGACAGGTAGGGCAGAACCTGGGCACAGATCCCATTCAACCTCTTCACGATTTCAGCCTGAAACACACAGGCCCTTCAGTAGGGTGGGCCAGTACCAGGCGGCCCCGGAGGGCACACAGAGCATCTGTCTACCCTAGGGGCTGGGCTGGGTCAGCAGAACTGGGTCGGGGCCCCAGTCACATAATCGGGGGGAAGGGGGGAGTGGGAGTGTTCACGCTCGGGCTAAGGGCACTGGGCCAAACCTGGTAGGCGGGGCACCTGGTAGGCGGTAAGCTCTTGGTGGGAGGCCAGGGAGGAGGAGGACCATGGGCATTACTGTTCTGACCATCACTGACCTTAGTCCCTTTGGGACACCGCTGGCAAAAGCAAAGCCACAGAAGGCAAAGGATTGGGGTGAGGGGCTTCTGGGGGAAGCGCTGTGTTGGCACAGATCACCTCCCTTCACAGCCACAAAGGAGCCATGATGGGGGGGGGGTGCTGGCAGCTCCTCCCAGTCGGGGAGTAAGAACAGAAGAGTGTGGGGGAGGGGTGCATAACAGGATAACAGGGTGGACTTGGGGCTCTGCCAGGGGCAGGATCCTACCTGCCTAGGGGTTTGGGGGAGGGCCAGAGGGAGCCATACCTGCTTGTGCATTTCAATGTTCAAGCCATATGACATCTCGTAGTACTGTGGGAGGAAGGTGACAGAGAGGGGCATGGGAAGATGGGGAGACAGGGAGGGGAGTATGAGAGGAGCAGGCTGCCTGCACCCAGGGGAGCAGCTGTGGGAGATGGGGGCTTTAGGTCTCAGCCTCCCCTGGCTCCCCTGGGTTCTGGACTAATTATGAAGCCCCAGCCCCTCCCCACACATTCCTGGATCCTAATCTTTGATCTTTACTTGCATCTTGTCTGCGGGTGGCCCCTGACTTGGGAAAGTTTACCTCCCAGGGTATAAATAATCCAGGATAAACAAAGCCTGCTGGGGCCAGCAGTGCCCCCTCCCCACGCCCCAGATCTGACCCTGTCCTTCCTTTGCTCTAAGCCCTCCCATGGCTCCCCACTATGACCCCCACCCCCACCCCACAGAAGGACAACACTCAGCCAGCTCCTACTCATTCGTCATTGCCCCAGCTGTAGTGCCCCAATCCAATGCAACCATCTAGGTTTCTATCTCAGGCAGTATCCCACTTGCAGGTCCTGGAGTCCTGGAGTCCTGGGGTCCCCTCTGGCCCCAGCCTGGAAAAGTCTGGGCTGTCTGCTGTAGGAATTTCCAGCATTGCTTGGCACAGACTGGGGCAAAGCAGGGAGATTCTGACACAGAAATCTCCACCTGCTAGGTAGGAAACCTGGCAGCTCAGAACCGTAGGGCCTCAAATATCAGGACAAAGAATGCAGTATCACCCCTAACAAGCATGGTTTACATGGGGGCGGTCAGCCTTCAGCCCAGGAGTCCTACCCCAAAGCTTGGGTGTGGAAGGGTTAAGCATCAGGATGGCGGGGGGTGGGTGGGTGGGAGACTGTGGGGGTGGGGAGACCCTACAGCTCCCCCGTGGCAGTTCCTGGCTCTCACTGCCAGGCCAGTGGCCGCTGCCAAGGACAGCCGGGGGACCTGGCAGGCCCAGGCTGCAACCCGGCGGTTTGGCATCTCAGCCACTGCCTGGGCCAGTGGCCAGGCTGAAGCAGTGGGTTTATCCCGGCAGGGGCGCTGAGACCAGGCCCTGAACCCTTGTCAGAGGAGGTGACTACGATTAAAGAAGCAGCCACCCACCCACTGGACCCAGGGGCTGAAGTGACATTACCATCACATAGTGACGCTGCATCTCCGACTTCTCACTCGCCAACTTGTCACATTCGAGCTTCAGGCTGAAGAAAGAAAGGAGAGTGGGGTGGGGGGCAGGGATCCAGGTTAGGTGCCCCATTGTTCAGAGGGGCAGTGAAAGTGAGGCTCCCAGGAGGGGGAAATTAGAGGCTACCCAAGCCAAGCCCCAGGCAGAGGCCAGCTGGGCTTATTCCTGGTAGGGTCAGTTCACAGACTTCGATGAGGGACAAACACGTCCAGCTGGACCTGAGGGCAGGACATTCAGGCATCCTGTGACACTGGGCAAGGATCCGAGCGAGCCTCAACTTCCCTGACTGTAAACTGGGGATGAAGAAGCAAGGCGATGGAAGAAGTGGTTAACACTCAAAACAACAAAAACAAATGCCGAGAGTGGTCAGACAAGGATTCTAGAACCTTCCACTATGTCACTCAATTGGGTCTGGGTCGGTGGTAATGTCTTCCCTCTGTTTGATGGATGATGTAATGGACAGATGATGTAATGGACGCTCAGAGAAGGTGAGTAATTGGCTCAAGGTCACACAGCCAGGAAGCAGGAGGAATAAATAGAAACCAGCTGGTGACAGGGCTGGGAGAGGACCAACTGGGGAACCTCAAAGTGCTCCCACCCCTCTATGAGCACAGAGTGTTCAGGGGTGTAAAATGGGGAGGAGACTGGGTCAGCTGAAAGCCCCTAGGTCTGGCATTCATTGAAATCATATGTCTCAAGTCAGAGGCACACTTAGACCGTCTGGTCTCACTGTGTATCTCCCATGATCCAGGATAGGAGGGACAAGAAGTCGAGCCAAGCACCTAAGAAAAAAATTGGGGGAAACCAAGCAGGGGGATCCCCATGGGCTGGCTGTCTCTCCATAACTACCTTAGCCCAAACTCCATCACTAAGAAACAGAGGAACTGCCTTCATAGCTCTAGCTTTCCAAGCTGCATGGCTGTGAGCAAATTTCTCCCCTTTTCTGAGCCTCAAGTTTCCTCCTAGGTTAAAATACAAACCTCCCAGGGAGGGGTGGTAAGGATTCACTAACTTAAGACAGGAAGTTGGGGAGAGTGTGCTGACAATAGTCAGCACTCAATAAATGTTCACAGCTTGTGGCTCTTAACTGTCACTCTACAAGATGGACCAGGTCATCATACAGACCCACAGCCCCTCCCCCCCACTGATATTTATATTATTTAAAAATGTATGTTTGTTATAAAAACAGCATCTATGATTGTTCTGTTGAATGCAAAAGCGATGATCTGCTTTGTTTAATTCACAATGAAAAAAATTTTAAACTAAGAAAAAAAGAAGCAATTTCACCCCAAATCCTGGACCTTTCTGGTCCATTAGGAGGAAGGCTTCTGTCGTCTGGCCAATCCTGTGTGGGCCCAAGTCAGTCCCTACTCATAGTGACCCTGTATAGGGTTTTCTGAGGCTATAAGAATATAGCATCATTCTTCCTCAGAGCAGCTGGTGGGTTTGAACTGCCAACCCCGTGGTTAGCAAGCAGTCTAGTACTTATCCTGCAGCACCTAATATGGTATAGTTAAGTGCTATCGAGTTGGTTCCGACCCTGTATAGGGTTTCTAAGGAGTGGCAACCCTGTATAGGGTTTCTAAGGAGTGGCTGGTGAACCTGAACTGCCAACCACCAAAATCGGTTCAAACTGACTTTGCAGTTCAGTGTATTAACTCACAGTGCCACACCAGGACTCCTAATATGGTGGTGGTGGTTATGTGCCGTTGCACAGGTTCCAACTCATAGCAACTCTGTATAGAGTTTCTGAGACTGTAAATCTTTACGGAAACAGTAAGCCTCATCTTTATGGTTGTTGTTGTTGTTGTTAAGTGCCGTTGAGTCAGTTCTGAAATAGTGACCCTGTATAGGGTTTCCGAGGAACAGCTGGTAAGCTTGAACTGCCGACCTTGCAGTTTAAAGGGCTTTGCAGTCTGGCGCATTAACCCACATCACCACACCAGAATTCCCTATAGTACAGCAGGACATTGTGGCCCAGCAGACAGAGATCCCAGAGCTGAGAGGGGGAGGCATGTTTGCCCGCTGACAATGTCTTTGGAATTGATCCAGTGAGGTACACACAGGCCTGGTAAAGTCCCTAAATCCTTCACATCACAGGGCAAGTGTTATATACCTGTGCCTCAAGGTCTTCATGTCTAGATTGGGTAACAGAAGGCTGGACAAGAGAACATACTTTCAGTATGCAGTTAGGGAATACCCCAAAATGTTGCATAAATGTTTATTTTATTTTATTTTATTTTTTTTAAAAGAAGAAATCAATATTCCCTTCTTGAGGAAAAGCCAAAAACCTTCAAAGAATACCTTTGTGGGTGGGGAAGCGAGGTGTACATAAGGCCCTACAAGGATTTCTGACCACAAGATTCCCTTCTGATTTCCAGGTGAGGACCCCACTGTCCCCTTGGAAAGGCTGGGTTCAAACCTCCGCTTCCTCATCTAGAGCTAAGCCCTAACTTCTCTGAGCCTCAGTCCCCCAATGTGTAAAACAAGGTCAATAATGGTTCCTTCCCTGAAACCTGGCTGGCATGCGGCAAGCTGTTGAGAAATATCACAAGGTACAATTCGGAGAAATAGAATCTCCTTTGAGAATCTGTGGGAAACCAGGCCCCCTTCCCCTAAACCTGTGCACACAGTAAGTACCACAGCAAAAAAAATTAAATAGTTTTTTTTTTTTTAATGAAAGGGGTCTTAATGTAGAAGGCCCAGTCCCTAATTCCAGTTGCTTGGTGGTCTTTTACGTGTTGGAATTTTGGAAGAGGGGACTCTGAAGCTAGACAGTTGTGTCTTTGGATAGGTCATCCAGCTTTTCTGTGCCTCATTATTTTCACCCGTGGACTGGACCTGTTTTGTATAAATGTGTTACTATCGGTCTAGAGCTTAGCCTACAAGATGGCATACGCTAAGATCTTCTATTTAAATATTTCTTAAAGTACATGTGTATGACGGGGAGGGGGCAATCTCCAGATGCTCCCCTTCCCCCGCCTTCCCTCCCCTCCACAGCCCAGCTCACCTGTGGTACTGGGCCTGCAGCAGCTGAAACTCATCTTTGATTCGATCACAGGAGTCCGAGGTGGTGAATTTGAGTTGCTGGGGCAGGTGCGAAGAGCCCTGTGTGGTGGGGGGCTACGGGTCAGGGCCTGGAGGGCCGGGAGCCTCTCCTTCCCCAGGCAGCCAGGAGGCGGCGGCCGCGCAGCTGCAGCGCCCCCCTCGTGCCCCACTTCCTGGGCCCGTGTTTACAGCCTTTGGCGCGGCCCCCCGGCCCGCTTCCTGCCCCCGCCTCTCCCCGGGGGAAGCCAAAGGGGGTGGGTGAGCCGGGAGCAGCCTGTCCCTCGCCACCCCCAGGCTTAGGGGGTGGGTTTTAAGGCCTGTTCTTAATGGGGGGCAGGGTGCGCCTTCTATCACCCCTCCAAAGCGCCCAAGGGGGGTGCACGTCAGCGTTCCCCAACTGGATCTCCACAGCCGCCTGGGGTGCCCCCCCAGGCTTCACTGCAAAGTCTTGTGTGGGGGGAGGGGCGTCTCCCAGCGCCCATAATGTTTGGGGGTGGTCCTCACAACAGATTTCCAGTGCAATGCATTTCCTGAGGTTGAGCTCTCCAGGGAGAGGTGCGCATCGGGTTGCCCCCCCCCCAAGAAACCCCAGAGGAAGGGGTGACCCGAGGGGCTCCTGAGAGACCCAGGCAAAGGCCGTCCTCGCTCAGTGGGGGGAAGGGGGACATCTGGTACTGGAGAAAGGGTACAAAACCGGGGTGCTGGAGGAAGCGCTAGGAGTTTGAGGGATCAGGCCCGGAACCTGGAGGGTCGCGGGGCTCGAGAACTTGGGGGGTCCAGGACCCGGAAGCTAGGGTACGAGGCCTGTAGGGGGTGAAATGGACTAGGAGCTGGGATTTGGGGCGCTGGGCCCAAGAGCTGTGGGGAACTGGGCCCAGGAAGTCGGGGCTGGAGGGGGGGAAGAGTAGGGCCTGGTGTTGGGGGGAGCAGGTCTGGAGCAGGGGGTGCGGGCCCGGAGGTGGGGGGGGCACCGACCAGGAGCCGGAAGGGGGCCGCGGCGGGCCGGGCGGGCCCCGCTTACCGAATGCCTGCTTTGTGGAAACATCATGTCAGTCGCGGCGGGGGGCGCGGGCTGCGCCCCAGCTGTGCGCCCCCGCTTGGGCTGCTCGGGGCGCCGGGCGCCGCGCCTTTGTCCCGGCGCCGATCG